TAGGTAAGCAGAGACCATATCAAAAGCCTGGGGTGGGGGCAAATTTGACTTGATCAGCTTGGGCATTTAAGGAAGGAAATTGTGGTGATCATGTTCATGGACACACCTTCAAGCGTGTGTGTGTGTGTGTGTGTGTGTGTGTGTCTGTGTGTGTGTAGGAGTTGATGGTTGATGGAGCTATTTTCTAGAAATTTCTATTCTTTCTGTGACATAAGACTCTGAAGTCAAGGAGTTAGAAGAACCTTCAGGAGTAGAGTTTTAGCCTCTGAGGAGAATGGAATGAGGAGCTGTCCAAGGACAAGCCAAGAGGAGTCATCGGTGGTGCTGCAGGCTCAGCTGAGGCTAGATGTTCTGAATCTCAGTAACTACAGGTGAAAGGACTGCTCTCAACAGCACAGGTGTAGAGAATTTTCAATGGGACTGCTCCAGTTTTGTGGGTATTACCTGGTGGTTGCAAGGAAAGCATACAAAGTTGAGGATGCCGATGAGAGAACTGACAATGGGGTCCAGACTTAGTAATGAAGGAAAGTGTGATAACTTCAGAAAAGTGGGGATAACAGTCTTAGGGGAGCCTGGTGAAAATTAAATATGATAATCAACATACAAGTCTTTATAAGGAAGTGTGTAGGCAGGGCCTGTAATTTTACTCTACTTACAAGTTAGCCTGCCAAAGGATGCTGACAGGAGATACGAGACTCCTGAGACAGAAACAAAAAAGTTTATTATTCACAGCAAAAGCAGTAGCCAGAGCTTCATGCTCATTTAATTTGGTTCTGTATGTCCCCCAAGTCCTATGAAGACAACGCAAGGCCTGTGATACTCAAATACACATTGGGTTGACTTACAAGAGAGAGACACTAAATTTGGGGGTTTACCACTTTCTAATAAGCAGAAGCAAGCTTGCTCTTTGCCCAGGGAAAGACATTACCTCATCCTTCAAGGTTACTTGCTGCAAACACAACTCTGAAAAATGGTCTGGCTAGAGTGGTCAGAGCCTTGCATTCTTGGCGTACCCAGCAAGAACATGCAGGAATGCTCAAACCTCATGGCATACTGTCTCTTCCAATAAGTATAGTGTATGGCAGATACTAGGTTTCCAACAAATATTAGCCACAATGATCATGTCATGTTCTTAATCATGATTAAGTTGAATTATCATTAAAATTCAGGAGCTATAAATGAAAGAGTCAAAGATCCACAGTCAGGAGATTATATATATATATATCTCCTATCTAATAATAGAGAAACATGGTAATTAACCATAACTTTGCTACCCTTCCCATTGGCTAATCAGCAAGATATGCAAATTAACTGCCAGCCAAGATGGCGGCCGGCAGCCAGGCAGCTGAAGCGAACATGAACATGAGGCTTGCTTACTCCAGTGATGGAGGAAGTCAATGTTCCCCGCCTGCCACAGCTCAGCTCTGAGCTCTGGATGAAACAATGTTGCAATTATAGAACCTAAACAAACCCCAGAAACCTGCTTTCAGCCAGCGCGGCCTCAGAGCTTAGAGCGGCCAGTGATGGCAACAGAGTTTCAATTATAGAATCTAAACAAACCCAGGTACCTGCTTTCAGCCGGCAACGGCCTCAGAGCTGGAGCCTGCTCTCAGCTCCAGTGACAGCCATAGAAGGTAAATTAATCCCAGAATAAAAAAAAAAAAAAAGAAAAAAGGAGAGGCTGGGAGCTTCAGTTGCGCACCAGCCTGAAAACAGCCTTCAGCCCCTCACCCAGACTGGCCAGGCACCCCAGTAGGGACCCCCACCCTGAAGGGGGTGTGACCAGCTGCAAACAGCCATCATCCCCTCACCCAGACTGGCCAGGCACCCAAGCGGGACCCCCACCCTGAAGGGGGTGTGACCAGCTGCAAACAGCCATCATCCCCTCATCCAGGCTGGCCAGGCACCCAAGCAGGACCCCCACCCTGATCCGGGACACCCTTCAGGGCAAACCAGCCGGCCCCCACCCATGCACCAGGCCTCTATCCTATATAGTAAATGGGTAATATGGAAACTGACCCTAACAGCAGAACTGGGAATGACTGGTCACTATGACACACACTAACCACCAGGGGGCAGACGCTCAATGCAGGAGCTGCCCTCTGGTGGTCAGGGCACTCTCACATGGGAGGAGCTCTGCTCAGTCACAAGCCAGGCTGATGGCTGCCAGTACAGCGGTGGTGGTGGGAGCCTCTCCTGCCTCCTCAGCAGCACTAAGGATGTCCGACTGCAGTTTAGGCCTGCTCCCCGCTGGCAAGTGGACATCCCCCAAGTGCTGCTGGGCTTCCAGAGGGATGTCTGATTGCCATCTTAGGCCCAATCCCCTGGGGAGCGGGCCTAAACCAGCAGGTGGTCATCCCCTGAGGGGTCCCAGACTGCGAGAGGGCACAGGCCAGGCTGAGGGACCCCCCCATCCCCCCCGAGTGCACAAATTTTTGTGCACCAGGCCTTGAGTATATATATAATTTCACCAGCAATAAGAGGTTTGATATTAAGCTTCAACAAAATGAAAACTAGAGTGTTTGACATATTTGTAGATAAAATGCAAATAAAATAAAAACTAGAAGTCTTTGAATATATTTGTTAGAGAAATTATTCTTTCTAACACTGTAGTATGAAATATAAAAGTAGAACACATGATGAAGTGGCTAAAGTAAGCCATAAAGTAATCACACTTCTGAAAGCATAATCGGTAAATGTGATGTACAGAGAAGAACTAAAAATGTGGCTAAGAAGGTTAATTTTTATCTTAAATTATTTACCTAAAAGTTCAAATGGGAACATATAAAACTGGGGGGGGGGGGGAATTTCAGGTGGTTCTAAAGTCAAACTATTTACTAGCTGTTAAAACCAATGAGAACAAACAAACAAAACAAATCCATAAAGTTAAAATTGTGGTCAATCTTAAAGATTCTTCACTTAAATACTTATACATTAAAACAATATGGCCCTAACCGGTTTGGCTCAGTGAATAGAGCATCGGCCTGCAGACTCAAGGGTCCCAGGTTTGATTCCTGTCAAGGGCATGTACCTTGGTTGTGGGTACATCCCCAGTGGGGAGTGTGCAGGAGGCAGCTGATCAATGTTTCTCTCTCATCGATGTTTCTAACTCTCTATCCCTCTCCCTTCCTCTCTGTAAAAAATCAATAAAATATATTAAAAAAAAAATAAAAGAACATGGGTTCTAGAGCAGTGGTTCTCAACCTTGGCTGCACATTAGAATCACCTGGGAATCTTTTTAAAATCCTGATTTCTGGGCCTCATCCTCCGGAAATTCTGTTTGAAAGAAATTTCCGGAGGATGAGGCCCAGAAATCAGGATTTTAAACAGATTCCAGGTGATTCTAGTGTGCAGCCAAAGTTAAGAACCACTGTTCTAGAGGGTACTGGGAAATGCTATTGTTAATACCATGAGCTCAACCCTTCCCCAACTGTCCCCTAATCCCAAACAAATATTCAGTGTCTAAGAGCCCTAGTATAACTGGTCATTACTGATCTAAAGTTATTCAGGGTTTTCCTTTCTAGTTATAATTGAAAAATATTAACAAGAAAACTAAACTAAAACATGAAAATGGCATAGAACTGAGCCTAACTCCACCCAAATGAGTCAAATTATGACCTAACTATCTTCTTAGGTTTATCATTCTGGCTAATAGGTTTCTTTGCCCAAGTTATTTTATTTCAGATTAGCCAGTTGGGGGCACCATCAGAATCTGGTTTGTGAAGGATTTGGGACAGCTGACTTAAATTTCAACTGAATTTGCTAGCTCAGCTAGAGCACTGATTGGTGGTATGGTTCAATACCCTAGGTCCGTGGTAGGCAAACTGCGGCTCGCGAGTCACATGCGGCTCTTTGGCCCCTTGAGTGTGGCTCTTCCTAAGCCTTAGGAGTACCCTAATCAAGTTAATAACAATGTACCTACCTATATAGTTTAAGTTTAAAAAATTTGGCTCTCAAAAGAAATTTCAATCGTTGTACTGTTGATATTTGGCTCTGTTGACTAATGAGTTTGCCGACTACTGCCCTAGGTCAGTGGTTCTCAACTTTGACTGCACATTAGAATCACCTGGGAATCTTTTTAAAATCCTGATTTCTGGGCCTCATCCTCTGGAAATTCTGTTTCTTTGATACAAATGTTGTGGCCTCACCCCATAACAAAGAAACAGAATTTCCAGAGAATGAGGCCCAGAAATCAGGATTTTAAAAAGATTCCCAAGTGATTCTAATGTGCAGCCAAGGTTGAGAACCACTGCCCTAGGTCATAGGGCCGAGGGTGTAGTTTTGCCAGGTTTATCTCTAGGCAGATCCCAGTTTCCTGCAGGCTCAAAAGTGAAATACAGCAGCTTCATTTATACATTATTATAAAGATGAAGGGAAAAGAAGAGGGAGTAATTCAACTATATCATACTAAAAACTTTTGTCTAGTGGTAAAAGTTCAATGGTGGGACCTTCATGTTATTACAGTTGGGATACAATATTATATTATTTTCAGGTGCCCATCATCGTGATTTGACATTTATATAATTTACGAAGTGATCACCCCAATAAATCTAGCACCCATCTGACGCACAATGGTGGGGCTTTTTAATCTCCCACATACACAAAATGAAAGAGGTTTATTTTTAAGAAGTTTCAACTTCATGTAAATGATATGTTTATATGGGGCTTTTTAAAATGTATAACCCCCCCACCACCACCACCTATTTCTTCCAAGAACTCAGAGAAAGGACGCTTAAAATTAGCTTAATCCCTTACATTTGTCAAAGATCAGCCAATTAGCTTACTGGGGTAAATTATTGAAAACAAAACAAGGCGCTTCATCCCCCACTCTTTCCATTTTTTAATGTAAATATATTTCATATGGTCAAGATAAAGTGTCTTGTCTCTATCCTGTCAGTAGTTTAAGTAATCAGAATGAACTAATTGCAGAATACTGCCCTAAACCAATAATAGGCAGCCCTTTAAAATAAAACGCGAAAGTGCAGAGGGCCCAGCAGCATCCAGGATGGAGAAACCCGGGCCTCCTGAGGGCTCCTCGCCTCGCTCCGGGTATAGGCAGCCATGCTACAGGTTCAGCCCAGAAAAACTGCAGAAGCTGGAGAGCTTCTTTCAGAGCAACCAAACACCATCCGATGAGGAAATCCAGGACCTGGCGGCCAGTTTGGAATGCGAGCAGAAGCAAGTGAAGTTGTGGTTCCAGAAACGCCGGGCCGAAGAGGCTAGGTTACGGAAACAGTCCAGGCTGCAAGACCCGGAAGCCAAGGCTGCACCCCAGGACCCCGGACCCTGCCTGCCTCCACCTGCACCTGGGCCTCCACCTCCACCTGCACCTGGGCCTCCACCTCCACCTGCACCTGGGCCTCCACCTCCACCTGCACCTGGGCCTCCACCTCCACCTGCACCTGGGCCTCCGCTTCTGCCTGGGCCACGGCCTGCATCTGAGCCTCTGCCTGCGCCTTGGCCTCGGCTTCCCCTTGAGCCTCATCTTTGGCTTACATTTTCGTTTGAGACTCGGCCTCCGCCTCCGTCTCTGCCTCAGCCAAGGCCTCAGCCTCCTCCTGTGCCTCTGCCTCCGCTTGAGCCTCATCCTGGGCCTCTGCCTTCGTTTGAGCCTCGGCCTCGGCCTCAACCCATGTCTCAGCCTTCGGCTAGGCCTCGGCCTCAACCCATGTCTCAGCCTTCGGCTAGGCCTCAGCCTCAACCCATGTCTCAGCCTTCGGCTAGGCCTCGGCCTCAACCCATGTCTCAGCCTTCGGCTAGGCCTCGGCCTCCATTTGAGCCTCAGCCTTCGCCTCCGTCTCTGCCTCAGCCTAGGCCTCAGCCTCCACCTATGCCTCTGCTTGAGCCTCATCCTTTGCCTCTGCCTTTGTTTGAGCCTCGACCTGGGCCTCAACTCATGTCTCCACCTGTGGTTTGGCTTTCAATTCTGTTGGAGCCTCAGCCTTCACCTCCGCCTCCATTTGTGCCTCAGCCTTCACCTCCGCCTCCATTTGTGCCTCGGCCTTCACCTCCGCCTCCGTTTGTGCCTCGGCCTTCACCTCCGCCTTCGTTTGAGCCTCGGTCTCGGCCTCAACCCGTGTCCCAGCCTCGGCCTCCACCTGCACCTGCAGGCCCTGTGTCCCCGAAAAGACCCCGAGGACCCTGAGTTCTCTGAGGACCCTGAGTTCTTGGAAAACCCTGAGGACCCCGAGTTCTCGGAGGACCCTGAGGAGCCTGCGTTCTCAGAAGATCCTGTGTTACCCAGGGGCCCCCGTGTTCCCTGGAGGATCCTGTGCTCGCCGTGGACCCTGTGTTCTCCGAGGGCCCAGGTTTCTGCAGCGCCCCTCCTCCCTGTCACTTCCCAGTCGCAGCAGCGGCACCCAGTGTGTCCAGCCACAGCCAGGCCTGGCGGAATTGTGCGCAGGGCACCCAGAACATAGTTCAGGCTGCACCAGCCCCAGCTCCAGCTGAGCCCCCAGTCTGGCTTCAGGGCCCTATGCCAGGCCCTGTTGGGACCCCTGATTTCACAGAGCTGCACTCACCCTAAGACCCCCTTGAAGGGACCCTCCTCCTCCTCCACCACCTGGGTCCTGAGAAAGGGATGACTTTGTGGATTAGAAGGACTCAGCCCCTGGCTCCATACGGGATTGTGTCCCCGCAAAGTACTGTAGATCCCGCCGGTGCAGGACGTGTCTGGCCTGCTTGGTGCGCTCATGCGGATGTGGGAAGCGGTGACTGCAAGTTACTCTCCTGCAGCCTTAAGGAACCTCCATTTACCCAACTTTGGGAGGCGGCATTGCTGCATTCACTGTGAAGCCACCCGGCGTCCTGCAGCTTTAATGTCCCCGCATTATTTAGGGCACACGTGACATTTCTGCAGGTTTTCAGGTCTAGGAGCAGAGTTGATGCTCATGGTAGATGTCCACTTTAGTGGTGCTGCCCGCAACTTTTCCAAAGGATCTAGACCAGCCTCGTAGGCCATTTAATTTAAATTGCATTAAATCCATAAATGTTTCTGGCGGCAACTGGCATCTTTCTACACTACTGAGCTTTATAAACTAAGTGAATTATTCCTTCACTTGTTTGTTTACAACAAGTCTTCATGAAGTGTTATTTTAATCATCAAGGTCTTAGGTATATATTTGTGTAGATTTACTTCCAATACGTTTTTATTGTCTGACATTTTGGGTGGTATTTTAAAATATGTCCATTTTTATAGGATTCAGTGGACATATTATTTTATCAGGGACCTGACTCAAATTGTTAAAATTCTATAACTTTTTTGGACATTGTTTGGGGCTTGATAATTTTTAATTTAATAGAGTGCATGGATATCTTGTAAAATAAATAAATCAAATAAAACTCGAAAAGAAAAGCAATGCTAAAGGTGAAGACTATCTCCTATCAGGTCATCTCCTCTTCCTCTCTCATATTCTAGAATTGTGTAAGATTTGGGAACTCATGTCGTGTGTCCTCTGGCAAGGAGCCAATGAGCCTCTGTTCCAGCATCTGGAGCCAGATGAATATCCTGGGGAAGATCAATCTATCAGAGGCATCTGGTCACCTTAGTCCTACCTTCACTCCAGGTGTGAATTTGTTTTAAAACATCATCTGAGACATAGTACAAATAATTGCATTTTTGTTAATGATCCCATTTAGTAAAACAGCTGGCCTGTCAAGAATTCAGGAATAAACACACACTTTTCAATATAACAGTAAACTTAGTTAAGGCATCTGCTGGCTTAGTGGCGGCAGTGCCTGTAAACAGTGTGGGTGGAAGGAAAGATCAGATCCCCGTTAGGTGTGCCTTGCCCTTGCTCCTGTTTTCGCTTTTCCACAGGGAATTGTAAGTTCCAGCTCAGTAGTTAGCATTGTTTTCTTCCTCACATGACTCCAGTATCCAGGCATTAGATGCTTTGTGTTAAATGAGAAAAACTCAGCTGAATAGTTTGTCCTAAAGAAGGTCTTTTGTGAAGTCCATCCAAAAATCCGAAAGTAGGAGTGATATCTGTTGGTGAGTAAATTGGGTTACCTGAGGTGAAGCTGAGTCACTAACGCAGTAAGCCCAATCGAGAAGAGAGCCACCTGGAAGGACTTTAATGTGCATTCCGATCTCTAAAAGCTGGATTAGCATTGAAGAGAAAAAATCCAAAGACCCTTGGCCCGTTAGCATTTTAGCAATTGTTTTGGGGTAGCTGTGATGTGGTGGATAGAGCCCAGTCTCAGTTCTTCTCTGCCTTATCTCAAATTTACTGAGCAGTAAAGAGTTGATATATGGTGCCCAACATGGGGCCTGAGTGTGGGGGAATTGTGATTGTGGGGTGAAAGGAGGCTCCCTTGAGGCACATGCAGAAAAAGTAAAAGTAAGGTAGGGAGCGAGGTAGGTAATTATGGGGTATAAAACATGGGAAATTCAGGATCCCAGGAAGGGGATCCTTAAAAACAATGCTTAGTGAAGCATTTTTAAATTTCTTAAGGAGAAAGTAAGTGGTAGAGAAAATAAGCAGTAGGAAATAGCAGTAGGGTAAGAAAATATAGAAAACCCTATCTAATAAAGAGGGAATATGCTAATTGACCCTCACACTGTCACAAAGATGGCAGCGCCCACAGCTGAAAAGGAGGGAATATGCTAATTAACTACCCCACCCTCAAAGATGGCGGTGCCCACAGCCAATAAGGAGGAAATATGCTAATTGACTGTCCTGCCATCAAAGATGGCGGTGCCCACAGCCAATAAGGAGGAAATATGCTAATTGACTGCCCTGCCATCAAAGATGGCAGTGCCCACAGCCACAAGATGGCCAGTAGGGGAGGGCAGTTGTGGGTGGCCAGGACTGCAGGGGAGGGGAGTTAGGGGTGACTGGATCAGCAGGGGAGGGCAGTTAGGAGTGACAGGGCTGGCAGGGGCGGGCAGTTGGGAGCAACCAGGCTGGCAGGGGAGGGCAGTTAGGGGCAACTGGGCCAGCAGGGGAGGGCAGTTGGGGGCGACCGGGCCGACAGGGGAGGGCAGTTAGTCATTAATCGGGCTGGCAGGGGAGTGGTTAGGGGGTGATCAGGCTGGCAGGCAGAAGTGGTTAGTGATAATCAGGCAGGCAGGCAGGCGAGCAGTTGGGAGCCAGCAGTCCTGGATTGTGAGAGGGATGTCCGACTGCCAGTTTAGGCCCGATCCCACAGGGGTCCCAGATATCCCCCAAGGGGTCCCAGATTGGAGAGGGTGCAGGCTGGGCTGAGGGACAACTCCCCCTGACCCATGCATGAATTTTGTGTACGTGGCCTCTAGTAAGGTAAATAAGATAGAAAATATGAAAAATAGAAAATAAGGTAGAAAATAGGAGACAGAAAATAGCTAGAAAATAAGGTAGAAAATAAGAGATGGAAAATAAGATAGAAATTATAAGATAGAAGATAAAAAATAAGAGATAGAAAATAAGAGGTAGAGAATTAGAGGTTGAGAATAAGGTAGAAATCTCTCAGGTTTGTTAAGCTACTGTAAAGCAAAAAATGGCTGTGGTTGTTGTTATTTGAGGAAGTAACTTTTATTTCTGACACAGAAAGTGGGCCTAGATTGTAAATTCTTGCGGCAGTTGCATTTTTCTGGGCTTTGGTTATTTCTGCTTGTATGACGTGATAGCTCCCTGGAACTTTAGGTCCAGACTCAGAGTTGGAGGTCTCCAGCTCTGCAGGACCGAGGGCTGCTCACTTACTCCATGCAGCAGCGGCTGAAGAAGCTGAGGAAGGGACCAGACTTACACCCGTGCAGACGGGGCTAATCTGACTGGGACTGGTGCCGGCTCAGTCCCAAAGCCAAATGTCCAAGCAGCCTGATCCTCAGAATCCAGGGGCACCATCCTCGCATCGACAAAGAAGACGACAACGAAGACTACGCCAGGGACCAAGGGACCAACATGGGGTCAGCTGAAGAAGTTAGCAGCAGAAGGTAGAAAAGCAAGAAGTGGAAGCTACTCCATCAACCATGTTTCTGGCTATGCTAGTGTTGGTAAACTGCCAGTTTTCTGTAAAGTCTTGTGCAGCCAAATCTGAGGACTCTGAGTAAGATATACTCCAGCAGCAAAAGAAACTTTTATTTTGTAGAAATCATTCTGAAAATGTTAACATGTCTGTAGTTTGGTTTCTCTTATTGCTGTGTTTCATTGGCATTGTTTTGTTATTTTATTAATAGCCAGAGTTTTGTTCTCTCTTGTTGCTGTATTACATTAACATTACTATGTTTGTTGTTTTGTTAATAGCCAAAAGTTTTTTCTTGATGTTTTGGTTATGCTGCATACTTTGCCTAGAGGAGGGGTCCTCAAACTACGGCCCGAGGGCCACATGCAGCCTGCTGAAAACATTTATCGGGCCCACCAGGTGTTTTTGCCGCTGCTGCCTGTGCTTAGCAGCCGACTAGTTTTTTTTTTTTTTTTTTTAAACTATAGTCTGGCCCTCCAACGGTCTGAGGGACAGTGAACTGGCCCCCTGTTTAAAAAGTTTGAGGACCCCTGGCCTATAGCTCTTGATGGTGTAAATGGAAGTGTTTAAAAACAGGAAAAAAAGGGGGAGAGATGTGGAGAGTGGCCACAGTGTTTGGACGGGTACAAGCCTCGGACTAATGAGAGGGCACAGTCCTCTCATGGCAAAGCCACATGCAAGTCCTAGCTTGAGGGGCAAAGCCCTCCCAGTACAATTATAGCCAAAGGCTATAGTTGTAAGCTTGACCTTATGGTCCGAACCTGTGGTCCCACGTGGCTGAGTGATATAGGCTGCAGGAGGTGCAGCAAGTAAACAAAGCTTGATCAGGTGCATGTAATTGAGTAGATTCAAAACCCACAAGAATCTTGTAACCATGCCCTTACTTTGCCTCGTGGAATATGGCTATAAAATAAAGACTGTGCAGGCTGTGGCACTGTCACTAGCTCTCCATCAGAGAGGACAGTGCCCCACCCAGAACAGCTTTTTTTCTTTTGTCTGTCTTTTCTTAATCCTTCACCGCCTCCTCTCAGGGTCACGGAACCTGGCTGAGCTGGCTCAGCACATATGACACCCAATGTGGGGCTGAGCATGCCATAGCCGTGCCTGCTTGCCACAGATATAAAATTAAATGATGTAATTAATGTTGAAGCACTCATGACTTTGCCCCCACAGGACATTTGAAAATGTCTGGAGATATTTTTGGTTTTCACAACTGGGTGGTAGGTGGTACTCCTGTCATCTTGTGGGTACAGGCCAGGGACTCCTTCATGTCCTACAATGCACTTGGCAGGTTCCTCCCCCCCTCCCCCCCAAACAAAGACTTATCTGGCCTCAACTGTCAATAGTGTGAGGCTGATAAATCCTGTCTAGGTTCATCTTCTTGGTTCTGCTTTACTCAGGGAATCTGAGAAATGAAACCTTTACTGAGTTTCCTGAGTAGGTAAATGATTTTGGGAGGGGTGGGTACAGGATGTTGGGGAGAGCAGGTTCAGGTGTTAATCTGAGTCGCTTGTAGTTATATATGGATCTGACTGTCAGTATTTACTGGCCTTGGCTCCCAAGTTGTTAGATGAATAGAATAGGAGGACATGACTGCAGAATTTATAGAAATAGTTGTATCTATTTCAAAGGGTCTGGGTGTCTGGTCATAACCATAAACTTTAGATGGGGTGATATACTGGTGCGATATGACTGGTGTTATATCAGTATGTTGAGTTTACAAAGACTCTTCCAGCTCGTTTAAATAAAGAAGAGTCAATTCTTAAAAGTTATGCTTAATCTTAAGGTACAAGTTCTTGTTTTGGTTCTGTCACTGGAAGAACTTTGGAAACACTGTCTGATTCCAGACTCTGACTTTTATGGATGTGCCTAGAAACAGTGAGACTAGAAGTGATGAGACAAAACGATTCAGAAGATTGTTAGTGATAGAATGGCTGAGCTTAATATGAAAGGGAAGCAGATATGGAGCAAGGGTACATATTAATGACTAATTGAGGAACACCTAAAGGCCTAGAGAACTGTTGACCCAAGAGACCTATGCGTAAATGTGCCACAAATCATGACAGTTCCCTTTTGCCTATGAGAAGCTTCTGAAGTGCCTTATATAATCTTTGTGTATTTCCACTTATTCCCTCTATCCAGGTACCTCTAGTTTAGCTCCTGCTGTTGATTCTTAACTACATTCTACCTCTCTGCCTGTGACCTTTAACTGATACTGCCACTAGACCTCTACTGGCTCCAATGCTTGTTTTGCCCCTAGATATGTGCCTCATTCTGTGCCTTGCCTCCCCCATACACCCAAAACCACCAAGGCCAGACTCTGATGAACTCTAATGGTCACAGCTGCCTGAGCACACCATAGGCTGGCGGGGGACGTTCCATGTGATTAA